GCCTACCAATTACATCCTAATGTCTGTATCTATGGTGTGTGTTTTGAGTAAGGGGTTTTCTGTTCTGTTCCTAAGTGCTAAACACGTGTCTAAATGATTGTCAGTTGGTAATCATTCAGTGCTACAGATGGGGCAATAAGAGATGAGGGTCTGCTGGAGTGTTTCTATAAAAAAGCATCCATTGAAATGTTAGGGAACCAAAGGTGGTTCTTTCATGGCATCATTCCAGAGAAGCCCTTTGGCACCTTAATTTTTAAGAGTGTGTGCTGAACACATGTTGGGTGCTTGTTTAAGGGTATGTTTTTAAAATATTTGTTGTTTTAGAAGTTCATACATATTTTAAAAAAATAGACATTGATTTGTTTAGAAACCAGTTTCGATCATTAATTTATAAGCCTTTAGATCAAAGTGTCAAAAAACGTACATTCTTTCAGGTGAGTCCATACTTTTGACTGCTACTGTAGATGTACTTCAGAAGCAGAAATATGAGTGGAATACAATGTATATGAACATCAATTATTCAAAGACTTCAGAACCGTTCTTTCCTTGTCTGTCTCTCTCCTGTGTGGGAGTACAGTGCAGAGTGTAGTCGCATCTCCAACAGAGACTGGCTGCTGCTAGTTCTGCAGTTGTGCTTGTGATGTTTTCAAGGCCTCATGCAGTCAAGCACAGAACCATTTGGTGCCATTATGGCATGTTCTTTTTCTGTCAAGTCTGACCTTAGTGAGGTAGCAGTTCATGTCCTTTGCAGGACAGCAGAGCTATTTAAAGCACTGTCAGTGAGCGAGACAGGTAATCATCTTTTACATTCACATTACTACACTTCACGAGCCCTCGTCTCCAGAGATGGGGCACTTACCAGGAATACACAGTTGACTTGTCTTTTGGTGCCCCCTTAATATTAAAGTGATGCCAGTAGTGGTTAAGAAGGACATAACATTGACAAGTCAAGGTCATGGGAAGCTGAATGAGCATGGACCATGAAGGAGACCAGGAGGAATGGACTAGTCCATTGCTTGATTTTCTGGGTTCGTTTCGTGTGAAAGCCTCGTTTCTCATGTGGTGAAGACCCCCAGGATGCTAAAGAGTCAATCGCTCCTCTCTGACAGCTGATAGATGGTCTGCATTCATCCGCAGCCTGTCTTTCTCTTTCCCTGCTTGGATGAAATGAATAAACTCTTTCTGCCTAACTACTAGAGGGGGGTAGATGACCTGAAGAGAGGAAAAGCCTCTGGGTTAGTTGTACATTCTTGTACATTCTAAATGTACATTCTTTAGAAGGTGCAGCATAAAGTGAGCCTTGATGCAGTCGCAACAAGAGCTCACAATGTGTCTTAAATGAACACTCAATACTTTGCTACTAATCGTACAAACTGGTGCACAGAGCTGCCTTCCAATTGTGCTGTGCTTGTAAGGAGCAGCATTTAAAAGGTGCCGCAAAGTCAGTGGAGGGCAAAAGGGAAAATGCAAATGCAGTAACAAAGAGAGTAAATAAACTTTGACACCACACATATTATGGGATGAAATACTACGCCTAATCAAAAAACAGACTGGGAAAGTCAGTGCTATAGGAGTCTTGGTTGGAACGCTAAAAGAGTGCTGAGAGAAAAAATGTGTGCCTCTGTCTAGCCACTGTAACTGCTGCCATTGTTAAAGGCAGTCTCCCAACAGCAAATTTTGGGACACATTACTAATTCATGCCTGGTTTTTAAAGGTCAACTGAGTCAGAATTCCCAGGTGGAAAGTTGGACAAGGTCGATCTAACAAACACCTGACATCACTGTCAAAATGCAAATACGAATGTTAAATTTATGAACCAATACAAGCAAGACATCACCTTTTCTCTTCACTCATGGCAGTATAATAGTTAATGTAGGTCCTTGTAAGATGCTGATCAAATTGCATGATTTCCCATAAAAACATGAGTTTTCTACACGCATCCATGTTATTCCTTGCAAAAGCACTGGAACCAGCCCTGGTGCTATAACAACTTATTGTCTTGACAACTCTCCAGCTGGCACCTCTTCCTTGACATCTTCTCAGAGCAGGCTAAGACCATTCATGCTGCCCTTGATACTGGAATGTGTTTAAACTGGAAATCAGGAGTACCAACTCCAAATATCCAACTTCTGAATACGATGGAATGCAGCGTCAAGAATACTTAATAAGAATCTGGCTGTTGCTAGTTCCATAAACTATAATAAATCAAATGGAATGTGTAATCAGCCATATTTCTAATATCTTCACCCATTTTCTGAGGTATCCTCCCTCAAGTACATATGTATGAGGGAGAGAAGTGAAAATTGCATTTCAAGCTGTGAAGCACCTCATGGATATGGCTTACAACTCACTCACATACTCACTCACCCATTTACTTACTCATGTTTAACAAGACTGTCACTTTAGTAACGTCCAGACCAGCAGGATGTCCTAGGATTGCAGTACATATGTACTACGCAAGTTTGCAAAAGCGGAGAACAGTAGTATCAAACACTGTTTACTTACCTAAAACTAGGAGTGTTCATTGGTATGTTGTTGTGCAACAACTTTATGCTAGCTGAAATGAACATTGTGGACACGTGAGAAGTGTGTGCTTCTGTGACTGTATAGCAGGCATGGACTGACCATAAGGAGGGCTGGGAGAATTCTCAGCAGGCCACTGATAGAGTGAGAAAGACAGAATTGCATGGTCATTTCTAATGTAGTCCTATATGAATGAATAAATTTGATGCCAGCATCATGTTCCAAAATGGATGGTCTTTAGCATGGAGGACACAGTGTCCATAATTTCCAAAAAGAATTTCAATTTTTGATTCATCAGACCACAGGACACTTTTTCACTTCACCTCAGTCCATCTTAAATGAGCTTGGGTCCAGAGAAGGTGGTGGTGTTTCTGGATCTTGTTTATATATGGTTACATCTTTTCGTGGTAGAGTCATAACTTGTGGATGCAGCGACGAACTGTGTTCAAAAACAGTGGTTTTTGGAATTGTTGCTGAGCCCATGCAGTGATTTCTGCTAAAGAATCATGTCTACAGTTAATGCAGTGCCGTCTGAGGGCCCGAACGCCAAAATATAGGTTTTTGGCCTTGTCCCTTGCATACAGAGGTTTCTCTGGATTCTCTGAATCTTTTTATGATATGTACTGTGGATACTGACATCCCAAATTCTTTCCCATTGTACACTGAGAAAAGTTATTCTTGAATTGTTGCACTATTTGCCCAGACAGTTTTTCACAGAGTGTTGAACCTCTCCTCATCTTTACTTCTGAAAGACTCAGCCTCTCTGGGATGCTCTTTTATATCTTACTGACCTGTTGCTAGTTTACCAGCAGGTGTTTTTTTTTTTAGCATTACACACATTGACCAGTCTTTTGTTGTTTTAATTAAACATAGGGTTCAAAAAATTTGCCCATCACTGCATTTTGTTCTTATTTACATTTTTGCACAGAGTCTTTTTGGAAACGGGGTTGTACTATCATACACTGGCTAATTAACTAGCTAGCTAACTAGCATTCACTCCAGTTCTCAGCCAAGCTACAGCGTCTTTGACGTGTTCACGTTCATGTATTTTAAAGAGTTCGTATTTATTGTTGAAAAAATGCATCCACTCATTGTAACTTAGGTAGCAGTCTTAGCCCTGAGTGGGAGGTCACTGTGACAGTACAGAGCTAATATAGACAAAAGTCCAGGTCTTAATTTAGTTCCCAGTCCAGCTATGCTTTATAGGTTATGTCAAAGTGATTTATAGAACTTTGCTTAGTCCTCAACTCACTGTTAAAACCTCAGATTTCTCCCATAGCTTCTTTGCATCCACATACTCCACACCCACTCCAGCGACAGAAAGGGATTTGCCTGTTTGCATAACATTTTATGCTTTGAAAGAGACAAGCTACTTCTAAATGTCCTCAAGGTTGCGTTGGTGTAACTTGGTTGCACTTGGTTGGTGTAAGCAGCAATGTACATGTTTTTCTTTAAGGTATCTTGGGAAACGACAAAAGGGGAGGATGTGACAATAAAATACATCAGCATATTATAACGTGATCTGCTATGTATAGCAAGACCAGACACTTCATTAAGTAGACCTCCTTGTTATTGCACTCATTGTGCATTTTATCAGCTCCACCTATTATATAGGTGCACTTTGTAGTTCTAAATTTACAGACTGTAGTCCATCTGTTTCTCTGCATACTTTTAGCCGCAATTTACTTTGTTCTTCAACGGTCAGGACCCCCCACAGGACTTTTAAAATATGGGCAGAATGCATCCATTTTGTGCCTGAAACTGCTGCAAAGGGCTTGCCCTCTGCCTCATGACTTAAATCCATAGGTTTTCTCCACAAAGTTTTCCTGCATAACTTGCCCTTGATGGGTGCAGAGAGGGCTTGCCAGAAATGCAGTATTGACATTCACAGTAAATGGAGGTGAGGAGACTTGCCTCTCTTCATTCCTCAAAACTCCTGGAGTTGCCAAGGTATCTGCTTTGACTGATGACTCCTAGAAGGAGAGGAAATTTTCCCACTGACATTCTCTCTCCTCCTGCTCTATTTCTTAATTATTTGTGAATTGCTCATTCAGATTTTATGTGTAATTGTACTGAGTAATTAGCACGATTGGAAACATTTCCTGTTGAGACCATGCACTTTATAAGTGATTATACTGGATATGGAGGAAATTGATATTCTGAGAGAACACACAGTCAGTCAACACCTTGGCTTCTAAACACTCTTCTCATTCTTTTACAATGTGGCATTTTATGCAAATGAAGTGAAGTGAATGAGAGATGCAATTTGAGTTGCATGTGAGTCTTAGGACTTTATTAAATTGGAAATGGTTCAAATAAGGCCTTCACTATAGCTAACTAAGGCTCATTCCCATTTCTGAAGTGCTTTAACAGTCAAAGCACTTTTATATGCAAGTACTTTTATATGCTCTTTATGGTTTGGCTATAAAATTCTTCCTTTCTCCCTCTTCTCTCTCTCACCATCTCTCCCTGATCAGCATAAAGATGGTGCTCCTGTGGACTGCGGGTGACATATTCAAGACAACATACTTTGTGATCAACGAGAGCCCCACACAGTTCTGGGTGTGTGGTGCTGTCCAGATTTTGATCGACATCATCATTCTGCTGCAGGTGGGCTACTACGACCAGGACTCCAGAGTAAAACTTGGATGACCTCTTTGACAATTGTCTTAACTCCCAGAACTTAACTCCCAAACAAGGGCTCCTTTGTTATGCATGTTTTTAATAATGCTAGTAGATGGACATTTATTTAACATTTGTGTGTTAAGTTTTTTTAAGATATTTATATTTTTAAATGGGTCAGTCTAAATTCCAGTTACTGACGATGAGTCACTGCACTATCCAGTGCTCAACAAGTCTCAAACCAGCAGTTACTGCATGGAGTGCTGTTACATGCATCACTGTCGTTAATACTCTACCCAGTCACTCACTGTATTTAAGATGATATATATTCTCAAAGCTCTGCCACAAACACAGTGTCTCATTTATTCATTACACACATTTACTCCATTCTTTGATAAATGACACTAACTTATACGGATTTAAAAATAACTCGGCACTTGGCAAGCTGTGAGAATAGCCCCGAGCGTTTTCAGTGCAATTGGAGCTGGCAGGAGGTTCCAGAGTGGCTGTGCCAAATTCATCTGCCACAGACTGCCTGTGATGGCCAGTTTATCTACACTTTGGAGGGTTCCATGGCCAAACCCCCACCCATTCGCTCTCCATCTTAATAGTATTAACAATGCTGTACCTGTTGTGGTGAAATAGTAAAAAGGCAGACTTAAAACAGTGGTCTCACAATAGTCTTTAGGATATGAGAGTCCATATCATGAAAATAACTATTTTTTCTATCTTTTTTAAAATGAAAATTTGATTTAGTGTATAAATCTTGTTAAAGTTTCAAAACATACCATTATGTTCCCAGTCCATACAGTCCATATATAAAAATTAAGCTGCGAAAAGGCCCACTTTGAATGCATTGTTTTTGTGATGTCAAAGACCATCACATTTGCATATATTCACCTGTTCAGACTAGCAGTTCAGCTACTCCCATTCACATAGAAGTTATAAGGTTAGTTTCAGACCAGACTGCATTTCAGATGAGGTACAATACAGAGCAGCCAATCAGAACAGAGACTGTTTATTTCACACCTAAAGAAACAGTAACAAAAATAGCCTGTTTAAGTGCCAAAAATGTAAAGAAATGTCATGTATGGACCTCAGGGGAAAAAATAAGATATAAGAAACATATTGGGTTTAGACCCTGTGTAACTAGGGAGGGTGGTGGTTTTATTGAGCTTTTGCCCAACAAAATCCCAGCTAAGTAAGCAGAAATAAGATGGTTCTTGAAGAAGTATGCTACTCTATTAATGAGTTAATATTAGTGGCTGATCAACTCCTTAAACTACAGTTCAGGCTTGTACACGGGTCCACATTTCAATTTCTCAGTCCATAACTACATAATTACATATTAGTTTCATAGTAGTTACAGAATAATTTATTTACTGAATAAATATGGTTCATTAAATTCGTTCCACTTACTCCAGATGTAATCAATCAGACCAACTATGTTTGGTGTCCAAATTTTGCTTCTTCAGTTTAGCACTGGAGCTGCAAGACTAGCATTGCTAACAAACACTAGAAGTCAAAAATCTTTTCTATAAAAACTTCTCAACTTAGGGCACAGTATGACTTACTGTAAACCATAAAAAATGAACAAAACCTCACCATGTCACTAAATGCTGTGGGCAGCTGAAATCCAGCACAGCATCTCTACTGTCTAAACTGGCTGTTCAGCTACAAAGTGAAGTTTTGGTCATTTTTACAGGTCACAGTCTGTGAAAACCAAGTCATACTGTGTCCTAAATCACAACAAGAAGACACAACCTTAATGAAGACCTGGATGTGGTTTGAGAGACGTTTTGGGCATGTATTTACAGAAAAGATTTGGGTGTTGTCTTGGGTATTGTCTTTGTTTGTTAGCAACATTATCCTCACAGCTCTAGTGCTAAACTAAAGCAAAATTCGGACACCAAACGTGTCTTGTCTCCCCAACATCTGGTGTAAGTTGAAAATGGTGTAAATTTGAGGTTTTTGCCTAACCATTAAGATTAAGAACTGAATAATATGCCTGCAGTTTAAGAAGTTAAACCAGAAATCTGTTTTACATTATACAGACATTATATCATCAGTAATGTATTAATAGTGTTTGAAAACAAAACCACACTACACTAGCCTGGTCATGAACATGCTCCAGTTCATTACCTCCTGAAATATGTCAGTGTTTTAGCTGTGTGCTGTTTGACCCTGTGGTTCATATCATTTAAAGTTAATAATACGGATAATAACACAAACACAGTGTCCCTATCAGACCGGGCACATTTTCTGTCAAGTTTAGTGCGTACAGTAATTCATTGCGGTTGGGCTGAGGATGTTTTTATGAGCTTATTGATGTGAGCAACAGTAAGACCACTGTTTAATGGTCAGTCTGGAAAATGGTGGAGCTGTTGAAAAGCCATGATGAGTCTTCCATCAGGAAACCGTTCCACCCCATTAAGCTTCAGTACACACTGGTGCTGTGAGTAGGATGCTATTGATCATTGGGCAGAACAGGCCACTCTAATGCTGAATTCTGTCCTAGTGCCTTAGTGCTACAGGGCTTCATCTGAGGCATTAAAGGGCCTTCAGCTTCCCTCTATATTTCACTCATTTTCTCACTGCATGCTAGCATTTCAGAGTGCAGGAAAATAATGCTGGCGTCAGTGGTTCTCTGACAACACAGCGTGATTACTGCTTAGCTGATAGGGAGAAAGTGTATGGATGTTAGACACATATATTGACACTTCAGTGTGAGTCTTCAGCATTTTTGCCATTAATTTTCAATTCTGTGTGTGTGTGTGTGTGTGTGTGTGTGTGTGTGTGTGTGTGTGTGTGTGCACGCTTACAGTGATGTTGTTAATTCCTTCCAATTCTTTCATCAGTAGCTAAGTGTGGAAACGGCAGAGCTTGAGACCAGCTGTCCTCTCATTATTAGCAGCAAATACTGCATGTGTGGCCCTGTCACTCAACAAAATGAGATGGATGTAAAATGGTGCTATTTTAAGAGGTGTTACAGCCCTGTGGACCGGGTTCATTGTTTTCCTATTACCTAAACTCATGTCCATTTACCTAGTACTTCTAGAATGCTTTGATTTGTCTCTCTACCCTACCTTCTACCCTCTACCCTCTACCCTACTTTATTACATCACAGAATACAGTACTGTGCAAAAGTCATTTAATTTCCAGGAAAAACAGCCATTATGTAATTCAGTTGTCAGTGTCCAAAAACAAAGGGGAAGACATACAGTTGAATGCAAAATGACATGTTTTGTTGATTTTTTCAGTGAAAATAAGTACACATCCTCACATGCACAATTACCATCTATTTGCTGAATTAAACATATTGGGGAAAAATAAAACGTAAAATGTGGCCTGTGTAAAAATTATCACGTTTTATATTTCGTTATTTTAATAGGGCAGAGTGGGTAGTGCTGTTGCCTCACAGCAAAAAGGCTGCGTGGGTTTCCTCCGGGTTCTCCGGTTTCGTCCCACAGTCCAAAGACATGCAGTCAGGCCAATTGGACACGCTAAATTGTCCCTAAGTGTGATCGTGTGTGAATGTCTGCCTAGTGATGGACTGGCATCCAGGGTGTATCCTGCCTTCCGCCCAATGACCGCTGGGATAGGCTCCAGCTCCCCCTGCAACCCGAAAGGATAAGCAGTTTAGAAAGTGTGTGTGTGTGTGTGTGTTAATGTTTTTCCAATGTTAAAACTGAGAGCACAGTTTTTCAGCCAAACTGTGCACTCAAATTGCCATATTTAAGTGTGTTCCCTGTACTTGATGTGTACAATCATGTACTCATGTACTTATTGAAAATAAGAAAATCAACAAAACATGTTAGAAAATCAAAAATACACATCATCTGACCAGGGGTGTTCATACTTTTGCATATTATACATTGTGTGGTCATGTATCTCCACAATAGTAACTTTACAGGAGAGGGCAAACACATTCTTAACTTTAATGTAAAAATTACTGTAAAGAGGTTTATTCCAAGTGATTTTGGAGCATTTTTATTGGTCCCTTCATTCACACAATGTAACGGACAGCTGTCATATTGTAGAAAAAAATTATGTAGAAAAAAAAATCTACAAAAATCTACAATTTTTTTTTGACAGCGATTATATTTAACAGAAAATTACACAGAAGCCTCAACACCTAAATATAATATCACATTTATCAGCATTTATTGTGTCCACCTTTGTTTTTATTATAGCTTCCGTTCTTTTTGAGAGGCTTGGTTTCAGTTTTTCAGTTCAGTCAGAAGTTGGTTTAATTTTCTGCTTCTCACAATCCAAATATTCCCAAACACATTTAATGTTGTTGAGATCTGAGCTCTGGAGTGGACTGTCCATTGTTTTAGTGTTCTAGTGTTTTTTTTATCTATTACCTTTTCTCAGTAACGGCTTCTTGACAGCTTCACATCCTCTCAAACTCAACAATAACAATCTTCTGAAAAAGAAATAAATTGCACTTAACAGCTGTTTTGACTGGAAATTAAACAAATGAAGGGTTGGTTCTAATTTTTGCATAGTGCTGTATATCATACTGAAAACGCTTTTATAAAGATGTTCCCACTGTCCAACATGTAATGTTCCATGTATGCAGATGTCATTAATGTGTCTTCTGTAATTGAGTAGTTAGCTTTGCATGACTGATGAATGGCTTGTGTTTCATAGAAATGTTGCTGATGACAGTGGTAACGGTCTGTCATGTGTTTAATGGCCATTTAATGCTGCCTTAATAGTTGACACTTTATCAGTCTTCTGACTCGTCACACACAGAAGCTCAGAGTCGCTGTACACTCCAGAAAGCACTTCAGAAGTCATGAAGATGTTTATTTCTATGCACATTTATTCGCAGACTGGTGTTGGCATTATGTTCACTGACTACAAATCTTTATTAAATATTACTGCAAGCCAAAGAATGTTTTTTAGGAAGGATGTATAAAACAAATGAAATCCACAGGCCTTTGTGTGTTTGTGTGCTCATTGTGTGAAGCTGTATAATCTATGCAAACCTTGAATGAAAAAACAAACATCTTAATGAACCTGTATCCTCTGTCTCTTCTGTCTATACAAAAATGTCTTTTAGCAGATGAAAGTATTTACTGCAGCGATTGGCAGCTACTGTTAATGCATGTTAGGGGTGGGTGATATGGCAGAAATATAAAATGTATCATTATATTTGGTTTTTATCAAGTTGATAAATTGGAACAGAAACTGTTCACCATCAAAAATGTAGTGCCATGTTTAAAAGTCTGTGTGCAATGTTTTTTTTTTTATTCACACACTGTGCATCACTACATCCAATTAAGCAGGACCAATTATGCACTCTTGGACTCCCAGCATCATCAGTATTCAGACTCGCAATCTCCTGACAACAGCCTGACAACCGGCCAGACAAAATCTCTGTAATAAAACATGCAATTGGTCAGAGTTCTCCAAGTACTGACGATCTCCACAATATGCTCAGCAAATTATACTGTGGAGTGATTTATTGTATAAAGGTGTAACAGTGTTCAAAATAGTGCATCACTTATACGCCTCTCTATCTCTTTCGAGGGTCTCCTATATTCTGCCTTTCAAGAGGGAAAAAAAATTGAAAAAATGTAAACAATAACTAAGTTATTGTCAGACTGAGCATAGATTTTATATGTATTTTAATTGTGCTTTTGTGCCGTGTTGGTATTTGAATTGCTGGGAATCGACTCCTTTAAGGAGTGTCAGTTTTTTTTCTGGCTTCCAGAGAGAAAAAGAAAGATTTGTTAAGAAGCTGCCTATTCTCTCTCCTACGCACTGTTATGCTGGCTTTACTGCACAGCTGTTCACCTTCTACTTATTTTACTCAACGTTAAGTTTACCTTGACGGCAGGGAACTGAAAATAAATGTCATGGTTTGGAAATTCAACTTTTCTTCAGTGCAACTCACAAGTAAAACAAGCAAGCTTAAATGACTGGGTTGTACTGTAGAGCAGCTAGCTCTACCCGGAACGTTTAGAAGTCTAGAACATTCCAGATCGCCATCTTCGGCCAAGAAACAGGATAAAATGAAGGTAATATATCATGTTAAATAATATGTACGCATACTGTTTTATTCACTTTTACTATTAAAACACTGAGATATTATGGTGCCTTTAAAAGCCGTTAGGCTATGATAGAGTAAATTCCCAACTGTCTCTGCTGCATGTTATTGACTGTCTGAGTAAAATTTGCAGTATTTTCTGTAAAGCTTAGGTGTCCTGTGTCTGTATAGCGCTCCCTGTTGGAGAAACTTAAAACTGCAAGCAAATTCTAA